GTCACACTGACAAGTGAAACAGGGCCCCAGCAGCTGCCTCTGGGATCTGTGGGGAGGGAACGTGGCAGGTCCTGGTGCCTCCCAGGCAGGTTCACAGTCAGACTGAAATCCTGGAACTCCAGACAAACAAATGAGCCTCTCAAAGTCCTGCTGCTCTGCTCCAGGCTGGATGTGAGGATTATTCTTGGAGGGGGAGAAGGAGCTTCCAAAGCCACTGTGGAGAGCAGAGATGAGAGCCTTGGTTTGGATCTGGAGGAGAAATGTTCCCTCACACTTGTGCCCTGTAAAACCAGTGAGCTTTGATGAGATTCTGAATGTGCCACGTCATAACTCACCCTCTACTTTGTGGCTGTTCTGCTCTGCAGGAGGAATAACCAATAAATTACCCTCTGCAGGAGACTCCTGTAATCACTCCCCTTATCTCCCAGCTTACCAGAGCTGAGCCTCTTTGTCTCAGACATGAACTAGAGGCATTTTTAAGCTTGTCCTCCCTGTAGGATCAGTAAAGTCTTGGCCAGCAAGCACAGCTCTTCTGAGTAAAATTGTATTTGAACAGGGGATGGGACTTAATTTGGTCTTTCACAATGCCAAGGGGAAACTTGGTACTGTGAGATCCTTCATGCTCCTTCAGCCCAGCCTCCTGCTCTTGGAAGTCTTTGCTGTTGTGTCTGTTAGAGTTTCTCATCATTTGGTAGATCTTTGTCTGAGGAGCTACAGCTCTTATTTGTCACCTGCACAAGCAACGTGGGGTGAATTTGGTGCTGGAGAAAAACCTGACTGTGTTGAATTCATGCTCAGCTCTTGGTGGGTGTGTGCACAGAGGCACAGTGGAGACTCCCAAACTTGTCTGTAGCTGTGAAAAGACAAATTTGAACAATACCTTGACATTGTTGCCCAGAGAAGCTGTGGCTGCCCCATCCCTGGAAATGTCCAAGGCCAGGTTGGACAGGGCTTGGAGCAACCTGGGCTACTGAAAGGTGTCCCTGCCCATGGCAAGGGGTGGCACTGGATGAGCTTTAATGTCCCTTCCAACCCAAACCATCCTGGGATTCCATGATTCTATAATGCTTACAGCACTCTGCATTATCCATCCACCTGGTGAAGTGTGGGGTGTCCATAGGACCATCTTTAAGGCTTTCTTTGTGTGTCATAAAGTGACACTGAAAAGTTTAGGAAACCCTAAACCTCATTGCTAAAATCAATCCCTTGGTGCTGTCCAAGCACAGATATTCCATAATAAATGAAATCAGTGGAATCTAATGCATCATAACTGTTTGTCAGGTTCAGGAGGTTTGACAACATTTTCAGTGTGAAAAAGAAACATTTCAGATGATCTATCATAAAGTGTCATGTCTGATGCTCTGATCAGGGACCATTAAGTGCTGGTTACAGATTATTCCAGCTGTCTCAGTGATCCCCACTGCGATGGGTACAGGCGTATCCTCGAGACCTGCTCTCTGCCCTGTCCTTTAAGAACACAAAATCCATGTCCCACTTTGGAGCCAAGCACATTCTGCCCATGAGTCATGTTTGGAGTCCACTGAGGTCAGGAGAGGCCTGTGCTTTGTGCTTGGGTTTCAAATCAAGCCTGGGGGCAGCTGTGCTTTCCAGGATGTTCTGTTTACAAGGCATGTGGCAGCAGGAAAGGCTTTTCACATCAGGGCATCCATGATTTTGGAGAGAGCATTCATGTGTGTCCACTGACAGAGCAAAACTGAGCCACATGGGGAACAGGGAACATGAGTGAATATTTCATTTTGCTGCGAGGACAGTTGTGTCACAGGATAAACCCAAGGGGTTTTCCTTGTAAGCAGCTCTCTCTTGTCTCTCAGTCAGCACAAAGCTGCTGTGGGAGGGGAACTGTGTTCATTGGCTTTTACAGCTTCACTCTGAAACAAGACAGTTGCACGTGGTACAGGGGGTTTAAATGTCACTTCTCAGCACAGTGAGTTTGTCTGAGCAGGGACATGGGAGCACTGCAGTGGGGACAGACTGTGGGTGTAAAATCAGTGGCTGTGCCCCCGCAGGTCGGTGCTCAGGCAGGTGTGGGCTTTAAATGGAGCTGCTGTAACTCCGTGTCCCACACACATGGACCTCCCCAATGATTCACCTGCTATTTCGGGAGAGTTTATGCACAGGCTTGGCTTGACTCAGGTCCAGCCTCGTGTAAATCAGCCTGTGTAGGGGGGGGTGATGCAACTCAACCTGTGTCTTCACTTGCCCCGTGCCTTTCTCTACCCTGTTGTACAGAACCAGGCCTTGAATGTCTTCAGGGAGCTGCTGCATTTGCACATCGGTGGTTTTGCCACCTGGCTGCTGGTTTTTCGGGTGAATGGAGCCTGGCAAAGCACAGCAGAGCCTGTGGGGATGTGTGTAAGCACTGATACACCCAATGGAGGCAAGGCCTGCAATTCCCTTGAGGAGGTGTTTGTACCCTCAGTAAGCATAGGGGAGAGTCAAGGAGGGAAAGTTTTCTTCCTGGGTAGGAAACCCACATTTAATTCATTGAATCCCAGGATGGTTTAGGGTGGAAGGGACCTTAAAGCCCATCCAGTCCACCTCCTGCCATGGCAGGGACACCTTCCACTAGCCCAGGTTGCTCCAAGCCCTGTCCAACCTGGCCTTGGACACTTCCAGGGATCCAGGGGCAGCCACAGCTTCTGTGGGCAACCTGTGCCAGGGCCTCCCCACCCTCATAGGGAAGAATTCCTTCCCAATATCCCATTTATCCCTGCCCCCTGGCAGTGGGAAGCCATTCCCCCTTGTCCTGTCCCTCCATCCCTTATCCCCAGTCCCTCTCCAGCTCTCCTGGAGCCCCTTTAGGCCCTGGCAGGGGCTCTCAGGTCTCCCTGGAGCCTTCTCTCCTGGAGGCTGAACAATCCCAACTCTCTATCCCTAACCCTAACCCTTTCCTCATAGGAGAGGTGCTCCAGCCCTCTGATCACCTTTGTGGCCCTAATTAAAGCAGAGGCTCTGTGTTACCTGGCAAGCATGGAAAATCCCCCCGAATGGATTAGCTTTCCTTTCCTGGCTGCTTTGTTATTTTTAATTTGACTGTAGTTTCCAGACTCAGTAGCACTTCAAATGTGACATTTGACAGCAAAGAATGATGGTTAAGTTGGGTGGAAGGTGCAACACAGAACAAATGGTTGTGTTTAATGACATTAATGACAGGAATCTCCACCCTCTTACACACAGACGAAAGTCACTCTTACAGATCTTTCCCATTGCCTCTTCCTGGAATGCAGTTTTTAAGTGGAATTAAGATGCTCAGCAGCACTTGGAGAGATTTATCTCTAGGACTGTGTTTCACACCAGCCTGGGAGGGGGAGGGAGCGTGGAAATCATTCAAGCTCTTGCTGGAAGCTTTGCAGGAGGGAGAGGGGATGGGTGCAAGGAGGGACTGCCTGGGAGACAAAAAATGAGTGTGGAGGGAAAAGAGGCCCAGGAGGAGCTGCAGCAGTGGCTGAGGAAACAGTGGCTGGGGATTCTGGGGGGGGATTTCTGAGGGAGTAAAGATAGACCTCGATGGAGGGGACACTGAGTGGTTTCGTCTGCCAGAGCTTCCCCAGAGCTTCGACACTTCCCGTGTCCTTCCCTGCCTTGGCAGCCTCAGCCCAAGGCTCTGGGGTGTCCCTGGTGAGGTGCCATTGCTTCAGCTGCTCTGCACTGCTGGGCTGCAGGGGGAACGGGCACACTTGATTTAGGATATAAGTTATTTGATGGAAAAGTTGCATTTGCTTCCCAAAAAGCAGTGCCACACAAAGTTTTACTTGCACCACCAGCATGAGGGAGTGGTCAGCATTTGCACATATGTTTCTGAATATATTTAGTGGTGTAAAAATATAATAAATTGCACAAATCTAAAAGCTTTATTTGGCCCAGAAATCTGTGTATAGCCATCAGAAGATTAGTATTCAGGGAGCTGGGCTGGTGAAGGAAGAGGCTGAATGGGTGTGCTCTGGGAACTCCTCCCAGAGAGCAGGGAGGGACTGGCAGGATGAAAAGTGAGTTCATTCAGGGTGTTGTGGTTGTTTATATGGGAGAGCACTTAGCCTCCTGTGTCCCTTTGAGGAGGTTCGTGTCTCTCATCACCCATTTCTCCTTTTCCCTTGCTTACACTCATTAAATATGGCAACTTGGGATTCTCCTCAGTCTTTTTTTCATTTCTGCTTTCATTTGTTTCAGGGTGGGTTTTTTTTGCTCTCAGCTAATTAGGATTTTTTTACAGACTTTAAGTTTTATGTACACATTTCCTTTATTTATTTGCTTTGCAAACATTTCCTTTATTTGCTTTGCAAACAGTCTTAATTTGCTTATGATCGTCTGTAATTTCTATTTTCAGAGAAGATCATTAACCATGAGCCATTTTCAGTGTGGGATATCAAGACTAGTGGGAGTAACAGGACCAGAGTGCTCAAGGCTCAGTAGATGTGCAGGAATGAGACAGTTAAATCTCCTCTCACTGCTCGCAAACAGACACATCCTGATGTTACAGTTAATGACTCTGTATGTGATGAATGGGGCTATAAAATTCTCTGTTGGGGTGAATTGCTTGACAGCACTGAAATTAGGAGATATGTTTTATTATCTAATGTCTGCCTGAACGTATAAAATAAAAAATGAATAAAATGGGGTGAAGGGGAAGCACTTTTATCTGATACATGAATATTTATAGAGGTATTTTCAGTGAACAATTAATTTTGCAGACTCTTAAGCTGGAGCTTTAATCCCTGGCTCGAGCAGTTTGCCTCCCTGTAATTGTTTTATTTTTGAACCATATTTTTATTTTTAACCTGTCAGGTGAGGTGCCACAACCCAATGGCATTGGAGGGTCTGTATGAGCTGGGAATGCTCAATGTTTCCCCTCTGGAGCTCCAGCCCTTCCCTGATTCCCTGCTGCTCAGCATGTCATGGCTGCTGGGCCTGCTGTGTTATCCCAAGCCTGGCCTGTCCCTGCTCACTGACCTGCTCCTTCTCTCCCTCTCTCTCTGGCTCAGCTCTCGCTCCCGGAGGAACAGAACGAAGTGACGAGGAATGGCTGTGACTCCAAGGAACTGGTCTACCTGGTGCAGATCTGCTGTCAGGTAAATGCCTTGTTTTCTCCCCCCACCTTGTTTACAGCCTGTTTCGTTCCATTTGCCAGCACGGCCTTGGAATATCAGGATGTGACACTTTCTGTGCTGTGGGGGGGTTTCCAGCTCTTCCCTTGCTCCAAGATGGTGCCTGTGGTAGTGCCACCAGCTCGTTGTAGGAAAAGCAAAGCACTGAGGGGAGAAAAAGGAGTGTGTGAAGGAAATAATCCTTCCTGGGATGAGCCTAGGGACAGGAGTGTGTGTGTAAGGGCAGTCTGAGGGTGGCCATGGACACCCAGACACTCCAGTGACCCTGGATGGAGAATCCCAGCAGTGCTTTGTTCACACAGGACATGGGGATTCTTGATCTGCTCCCAGTGATGTCTCCAGACAGCTGGTGTGGAATTGTACTGTGGTGTCAGGATGCTTTAGGCAGATAAATCTGCTGCTCCATCCCATGGAATCCCCATCTCCCGATGTGTGTGAATTTCTAAAGTGCTCCGTAAAATTTCTAAAGTGCTCCATAACAGGTGATTGTGTTTTAATGTGCTCAGTGAATCACTGTTGGTGGGAGATGCAGTGGCAGGTTCAGTGCAGAGTTAATGCCTGTGTTTGGTCCTTTTCCTGGTTTTAGGATAGCAGCTCTGTCCATGATTCACCTCCTGAGCATCCCTCCTGTCACTGGATATGGAACATTACCAGGATCACTGGGGTGTCTGTCACCTTTTCAGAGCTCCTTCAGTGGTTCTGCTGCCTCAGGTGCTCAGAGGAGTTGTGTGGAACAGGCACACCTGTGGTACCTACATTTGAACTGTGTGGGGTTGGGAATCTGCTGGATTGTCCCAGCATTGGGACACACAGACGGGGGGATTTGCAGTGGAAAGGCTCTGCTGCCCTGGCTCTGTGTGAACAGAGTGGCTGTTGTGAGAACTGAGGAGAATCCTGCATCCTGGGGAGTAGAGGATCCTGCATCCTGGGGAGCAGAACATCCCAAGGAGCAGAGGATCCTGCATTCCAAGGAGCAGAGGACCCTGCTGTGCTGTGCAGCTGCAGCCTGGCCCCAGCTGAGCCCCAGCAGTGTCAGTGGCGCGCGCACACACACACACACACACACGCACACACACACACACACACACGTGTGTGTGTACATGTACAGAAATGTGCCCTGGGGAGAGGAGGAGAGGCTGGAAGGGGACATCACTCGGAATTGCTGGTTTGGGAGTGTCTCCAGCACTGTTGTGACCAACCTGTGGGCACTTGGGCACAAAACCAGCCCTTCTCCCACAGCATCCAGGCTGACAGGCAGCACAGCAGCCTCAGGGGTGGGCACAGGGCTGTGCCCCAGCCAGGAACTGGGCAGGGAAAGGGGTTTTGCAGAGACTGGAGGAAATTGGAATGTCAGTATGTTTTGGGCCCTCCCATTTGGGATCACTCTTGGATGCTTAGCAGGATGTCTGTTAGTGTGCAGTGCAGAGATTTCAGTGTGTGGGGACAGTGGGTGAGTTCCTGGGGAAGGCAGACCCTCCTTTGCAGCCCCTGTGCCCCAGGCCCAGCTCTTGAGAAGTTCCCTTCCCTTCCCTTCCCTTCCTCCAGTGTTTGGCTGAACTGGAATGGAAACACTGGGAATTGGCCTTGTCACTTTAAAGGGTGGACACAGAACCAGCCACCTTTGTTTTCCTTTCTTTTTCCTGTTTTCCTCCTTTTCCTTGTCTTTTTCCTTTTTTCTTTTATTTTTACTTTTTTTTTCCCTTTTCCTCTTTCCCTTTCTTTCTTTCCTTTCCCTCTTCCCCTTTTTCTCTTCCCCTTTTTCCTCTTTCCTCTTTTCTTCTTCCCCTTTTCCTTTCCCTTTCCTCTTTTTCTCCTATTCTTTTGCATTTTTTCCTTTCCCTTTTTCCTCTTTCCCTTCCCTCTTTCCGTTTGTCCTCTTTCCCTTTTTTCTTTCCCATTTTCCTTTCCATTTTCTCATGTTCTTAGTTTTTCATTTTTCCCTTTCCCTTTTTCCTCTGTCCCCTTTTTCTCTTTCCCCTTTTTCCTTTTCTCCTTTTTTCTCTTTCCCTTTTCTCCTATTGTCTTATTTAGTTTTTCCTTATTTTTCCTGTATTTTCTCCTTTTTTTTTTTTTTTTCCCCATTTTTCTTCTCTTTTAAAGTACTCCCCTGACCAGTCCTCCCTGCTCTGAGCCTGGGATACCCCTCTCCCATGTCAGTCCACGTCCCTGTTTCTCAGATCCATAAAGAGCTGAGAAACTTGTGGCATCTAGATCCAATGACTGGGAAGGTATGGAAGGAACTGCACAGCTGAGCATCATTCCTGCCCTGGAGACACTTTCCCCCTGACATCCTGGGGCCTCTGCCAGTGTCCAGGGAAAGATTCCATTCCGTCAGGCTTTGGAGCCCTGCAGTGTCTGCCTGGATTTGGCTCCACATGAGACCCCAGTGGAGGTGTGAAATAGCTCATGGAATGATGGGGCAGTGGGGAGGGATTTTGGCAGGACACAGCTGGGTCGGGCCAAAAGCACTGGAGGAAGGGGAAAAGAACCTGAAAACCAAATTTGACTTTCCTCACCCTGGATGTGCTTCTAGAGTTGGTGTCCAGCCACTGCAGCATGTCCTGGGTTGCTCACATGGACACAGGCAGTTCTGGTATTGAGGTTAAATCCACAGAAATGTAGAAGCTTTTGGATATCTGTGATTTGGTGCAAATACAGAGGGGTTATTTGCCACCCTGGCAGCTGGAGGTTCCAGAGCTGAGAGGAACAAGCTAAAGCCACAGTTCTGGCGTTGAAGGCACTGCCCTGCTGGGCTCTGCCCGGTGCGGGCTGGGCAGATCCCCCCTGTGTGTGTGTGGGTCACACAGAGACCTGTCCTCTGGCACTTCACCTGCAGCTCTGCACCCAAAGCCTTCAAACAGGAGATGTTCCAACCAGCCCAGCCTGGGCTGTGCTTGGCAGGGCACAGCCCCTTCCCCTGAGCTCATTCCTCACTCCTCCCCAGCTGCAAGGACAGCTTTAGTGCCATGAAGAGAATTAGTGTTTGAGGCCTGTTCTGCAAAACCTTCCCAGATAAGGTTTGAAAAACATTCTTTAGGAGGTGTATTTGTGACACTTTCTGCTGCAAGTCAGCTCGTGAAATCCAAGCTTTGTGTGAGCTCCCGAGGGGGTTTAAGTCTCTGTTCAGTTTTTCTTCTACTTACAAACCTCAAAAAATTAATCCACTTTATCGGCTCTTAAGAAGAAGTGGGAATATATGAAGAGATGTTCCAAGTGTTTCAGAAAAGGGGAGAGACAGGATCCTTCTTTTGATTCTTTTGGACAAATTTAAACATGAAAACAGAGGTAGGGAATTACATCTTATTGGAAAGAGCTGATGATGGAGGGGTTTGTTTGGTTTGGTTTTTTTAGCCCAGTGTAGGCGGATTTGCCTTTTTTTCCAAGTAAAATTGCACTGATTAATTTCTAGAAAAGAAATTCTGTGAAAAGATTGCTGCTATTAAAATAAAAGGATAAAATCTTGGAAGGGTGGTGTGAGGACTGTCCCTGTGAACACTCTGAACCCTGGAAACAGTAATTAGAACCCTTAACTATCCCTGTGGGCCCTGAAAGAGCACATGGGATGTCTGAGACCTGCAGGAATTCCTGCTGTACCCGTGGCTGGGAAGGTCCATGCACAGTGTTTGCCATCCTTGGGAAGTTCCATGGAGGTAAGCAAAGAACTTACATGGTCTGTGCCACATTTCAGAGGAGTTATTTTGTGTGTGGAGAATAAATCAGCACAAGTCAGAGCCTGCAAAAAGGTTGGAATGGGCTAATCCAGCCCAACTTGGTTGTAAGAGAGACTGAAAATGGGCCTTTTGGATGTTTTTGGGTTGGTTTGTGTGATATTACAGCAACTACCTGTGTATGTGTTTAAATATTGCAACAGAAGAAGTCTAAGCTCTTTTGTTCTGACAAATGGAAGAAAAATAGAAAGCATAAAGTGAGATCTGTGGTGTTTCAACACCTCACATCGTTTTTGGTGACATTTGGAATGGCAGGGGGAGAAGCAGGGCCTGGTTGTGAGGATGTTCACAGTCTGAGACAGACCTTAACCTGCAGCCATCTCCTGTGGTTTTTATTTCCTATTTCCATGCTCACAGGGACATTGCTGAGACAGAACTGACAGACCCTGGCAGCCAGAGATGTCAGACTGTGCAAGATGGGTAACAAAATCCTGGTGCTAGACCTGCTGATGGACCTTAAACTCAGCCTGACTCTGAGTTCAGAGCCTAGCCCACCTTCCTGCCCCTGCTTTCCATGGAATACTGCCAGTGTCCTGCAAAGGAAGCCTGTTTCAGCTCCAGGTGGATTTCTAAGGCTGTTCCCAAAGCAGGAACTCGTGGGCCAAGCAAGGATTCTCCTCTTTGTGCTCCCATTCCCATCCTCTCTGGCAGGGAGCTGGACCAGGCCTGGCTGTGGCACAGGATGCCCAGTGCTCTGCCCCGTTCCTGGTTTTTGTCCCTGGGCTGTGCTGGCTTTGCTGGATGGAATCAGGGCTCTGATGCACCAGACAAAGGCATTTCCCAACCCTCTGCCTGGCTGGAGATTCCCACTGGATTTCTCCTGTTGGGAGAGCAGGATTTGCACAGCTCCAAAGGCATCCCTGTCCAGCATTCCCTGGCTGCAGCAATGAGTGTTCCAAGTGCAGGGCATGCTGGAAAAACGGGCTCCCAGGAGGAAGAGCAGCCAGGAATTCCCATCTCTGGTGCTTTGGGGGAGAGCAAGGTGGAGGGGATTGTCACAGAGGCCAATCAACTACTCAGAGGAGTGACATCCCAAGTGTGGTTTGCTGGGTCTGGCTGCCTGTGATAGTCCAGGCTGAAACCACAAACTGCTTGCAGCAAGATTTTTGAGTCAAACACACAAAAATATGTTTGTTTGTTTTTTTTCTTAAAGGCTTGCTCTTTAATTTATTAATAGTTTCTGATTGAAGCTCAAACACCTGGAGAGCAGTAAGTGCTACAAACATTCCTCCTATG